AGGTTGCTTATTTTTGACTCTCTCCAAGGCCCAAAGGGAACAAGATAACGGGACTATTATGAAGTGGAGTTTTTTTTTTTAATTATTTTCAATGAGGTAAAAACATGATAGAATTAAGTAATAGGCTGCTGATAAAAGGATAAATAAGAAGGTAGTTTAGTTGCAAAGGGCTGCACCACTTAATATTTTAAACATTTTTAAAAATCGATTAAAATTTTAAGTAGCAAGCTAACTAATTATCACTTAATATTAAAAATGTTAGTGCAAAATTTTTTTATAAATTTTTCATTATTGGTAAATATACTCTTAATACATTTTATAGTCTTAACTTTTTAATACCCACCATCCATAATCGTCACTGTCACCACCACCACCATTATGTCGCCGCAACCACTACCACTACCACATCCACCACCACCACCACCACCACCATCATTGTTGTGCTATCACTATTGTGTCATTGCCACGACCACCATTATATCATCATCACCGCACCACTAACATCATTGTGTCATCGTCACTACCACCACCATCATTACCACTATTGCCACCACCACTATCACCACCACCACCATTGTTGCAGCCACCACCGTCACCATTGGGGGGTGGGGGTGGTGGTAATAGTAGGAATAAGGTACGTAGTTGCGGTGAAATAATTAAAAAGAATGATAAAATTAGAATAATATTAAAATTTTAGAGTTTAACGCTTTGTATTTATCAAATAGTTTGATTCAATTCAATACTTAAATTTCAATAGATACAAAATAATTTGCTAATTAAAAAACTAAGCATTCAACACTTACAATTTAACATTCAATTTTTAGTATTCAATTTTTAATTTTATCAAACACCACTTAAACCCGTTACTTGAAACAAATACGTAACCAATCAATTTCAAATGTTTGATTAAAAGTGGATTATATCCATATCCTCCCCATTAACTTTCACCCAACTTTATTCAATATTGTCAGATCAGCCAGCCTATATGAATATTAGGACTTACTCATAAATTATACGTCTTGTTTAAATTTATGATGGATGGTTTATCATAATGAAATTAAATAAAAAAAAATGGGAGATGATTTTAAGTCTAATAAATAGAGCACCAATGCTATTGAGGCATAATTAAAGAATATAATTTAAAGACATAATATATTGTGACTAATGAAGTAATAACAAATGTATTCAATGATGGGATCTATTGTAACATTAAATGTATTTCACCATTATTTTATTGATCAAAATGCATTATGTTTCCAAATTATATTTCTAAATTATATCTAATAGCATTATTCTTATAGTAATGCTATACTGACCAAATTTTGAGACTAAATTTAAAACCCAAATGACATGACACCATATTATTTGAAGTTTTTATTGGAACTCAAAATGATATGACACCAAACAAAAAAACACATGTCAGCTGTTGTGTCATTTAAACACTAAATTTAATCTCAAAATTATTGTTGTTCTTAACAGAGGTGGCACTTGGGATTGTTCAAAGCTAAAGAAAGCATCAAAAAATTCAACTCAATTAATGATGTGGGGGTTATTGAATAGAACATGGGTGGTTCTATAGTCAAAGGTCAACTTAACTTGTAATTATGATATTAATTATGGAATGATGGACGGACCACATGACCCATTTTTGAATTAGATAATGTAACACTGAGTAAAAATTGATCAAATAAAAAATCAAATAATATAATGTTGATATTATAATACTTTTAATTCCACTTATACTCATTAAAAAATCAAATTTTACTCATTAGAGTCAAATAATTTATTCTTTTTTTTTTTAGTTCTATTTTTTTTCACTCTGTCTAACATTTCCCTTATTAGTAATCGTAACAATTAAGCCATGGCTCAATTTTGAGCTGGAAGTTCTGACCCCAACCCATACCAAACCAGAGATTTTTATGTGAATTATATATACTACATGACAGTGTCAAGTGATATACATTACCAATAAATTATTGTGGATTTACAGTGAATAATTGCACCTTTTAATTTGTAAAAAAATACTTGAAAAAACTAACTTGTATGCCTTTATTTTTTGCCATTGAAAAAAAATGGTCAGAGTAAAAGAGAGTGCTCAGAGACCATCTCGATATGCCCTCACTGGTAGGGATAGCAGTAGACTGGAAAAAAATGAGTATTCGTCTAAACTCGCCCCGTTTGGATCGAGGATGGACCATACGTATTGGACCGAAGATGAACCATACGTATTGGATGATGAACGTATATGGGGATACCCGTATAAACCTGCATAGAGATAGAGGCGGGGATGGACTGACACTTACCCCCGGCCCATCCCCACCCTTCCCCTCTAACCCGTGATATATATATATATAAAAGAAACCCCAATCTCATTCCCACCCACCTATAAAGTTAATTTCAAATTCAGTGACCCACTTTTTTTCTTTGTCCAATAAGATAAGATCTATTACCTTTGTGTTCTTTTTTATGACTTTTGTTAGATCTGTGATCCTTTTTGTTAAATTTGTAATGGGTTTTGTTAAATCTACAAGTTTGTGTTGTGTTATGTTAGCTATCGAGGGTTTTTGTTTTGGATCTATGGTTTGATGTTGCTTGTTCTGATTTTTTTTGTTAGATTTACAATTTTCATGTGTTACATTTGATTTTTTGTATTAGATATGCAATATTACGAATTTTTTAATTATATCCTACTTGAATATAGTCTTTGTTGAATTTTGATTGCAGTATTAGATATGGTTTTTGCTAATTTTTGAGTTTATTCTACTTGAATATGGTTTTTGTCCTTTGAAAATTGTTGGATAGATTTTTTGCTTGAAAAGTGTTGGATAGACTTCTTACCTACTCAGTATACCAAATGTTAGTCCTTATTGATGAAAACAATTATGGTAATTTTCAATTGATGACATGCAATTTTTTTTTTATTTTTTACAATGTTAGATTATGTTGGGTTTAGGCTTAGACTTGAGCGGAGGATGAAGGTGGGGACGGAAGTCAAAGATTTAAGTTGTGAAAAAATTCTCTTACATGCAGGATAAGACCGTATGTATTTGACATTTCTTAAATCATGCATAAGACCGTATGTATTTGACATTTCTTAAATCATGCAGTAGTGCAAACCCATAAAGTGGGTCACTTCTTTTTAGTTAATGGTTGTTCGAACCTTTTAATCTTGTTATTGTCAAAAAAGTAATGTTATTATGATCTAATTTTAGGAACCAATGTAATATCATCATTAAATTAGCAGTAGGTTTCGACATGAAATGCAGTTCTATTTACTAATCTAACGATAGTACTGCATTAGTCCCTAAATTAAGTACATGAAGTACTATTGTAGTTAAAATTACCACTATTACGGCAGGTTTCTGATTCCGCACCTGCCCGAAAACCACCGTTGTTATGCCCTTGGTGGTTAACCAACCCAAGCTTGTCTTTCGATCTCATTAGCTTATTAATCATTTCCGTCTTTTAAAAAACAGCACAATCTGAGACTAATCTTACTCAAACTCTCCATTGTTTGATCATCTCACCTCATGAACATACCCAACAGTCACAAATTGTTCCGTAAAGCTTTCTGCTGGAAAACTGAAGAAACTTTAAGGGTTGTATCAGGCCAGCTGTCCTCAGCGTCATTGGGGGAGACTCTTGTATATCAAAGATAAGTGTTTTTAGTCGAAAAAAGTAAAGGAGAAAGGAAATCCACCAATGTCTTTATTATTATTATTATTTTGTGTGTGTTGTTTGTAATTGTAACCTCTTTCATTTCATCTATCTTCTTTGCTACTCCTATATCAAAGAGCTAGTGGAAGGCCACTTTTATAAAGCCTTGCAAACAAAGCAACCTTCTTCAACATTTATGAAGCCATGTCACCCTTCGTTAGGGCTATTAACCAATCTGAGTACCTCAAATTTGGCTTGTTCAAGTTTATTTGAAATTTTAATATTAATATGAATCTGGTCAAGTTTGAGGTTTATTTTATAAACAAGTTGAATCCGAGTAACGTTTCACTCAACTTGAGTAGGCTCACTTGAAATAGGGTTGTGTTTATTAATAATTCTAACATTGCCTCATAACAATCCGTATTGGAAAGATGAACACCCCAAACTTATCTAAAATAGCTTCAGATCATTTGCACTTCTCTATTCTTCTCCACTCTAATAGATCTTTGAGAAATGTAAACTTATGAGGTTTAAATTTAATTATGTTTAATTACATGTATTTTAAGATATTTTGTTAAAACTTTGATTGTTAAGTTTTGGGATTAAATTGATGCAATCTTTTTGTTGAGAAGTTAAGCTCCATTTCTCGTAAGCTCATGCCGAGCAAGCCTGAGGAAGAATCTAAGCTTAGCAGTTGATCATGACCAATTTGTTTGACAAACTATGCTCGATTAACGCCCATACCCTCTATATCTTCATGAGTGAATAGCTCAACTCTATTTTACAGATAGTGCATTTCCACAATAAGGCCCCATCCCATGAGATTTTTTTTTTTTTACAATATTACTAGGTGTAAGGACTAATTTTTTTCCCAAACTGACGTCAGAACTGAAATTTATTCCTTCTGGACATTGTTCCTGGACTGGAGTTGTATTGGAGGTGTAAAACTGAGCCATGTTCATGCATGGTGTGGTGAAATATTGATTGTCTTCCTTCCTTTTCCAAGAGTGTCTCTTCCTCCCTCACATGGTCAACTTCAAATAGTACATTTAATCAAACCATAATGATAAGTAAATTACAAAGAAAGATGGAAAGTAAAGTACATAGCAAACTTCAAATAGTACATGTAATCACACTAAATTACAAAGAAAGACACAAGCAAAGCATAAGGAAAAGTAATCACACTAACATGAACACATGATTTCTATCCCATTCTCCATATGAATCTGGAGAATTTAGCAATTAGAGCATCTGCCAATTTTGGCAAACCTTAATGACTAACCACATAGCCCCAGCAGAAAGAAACCATGAACTTCTATGTGAAAAATTCAATTCTTCTGTTCTTACATGGCCCTCACAGCTGCTTGGAACCTTGGTTCCTTAGGGAGAAACTTCTGCTCAGCATAAACATTCATATAATCACCAAACACAAACTTGGGATAAGTCTGATCCAACTCCTTGCTCACCTTGTCCACCAATTCTGGTGCAGGACCTATGGTGGCCTTCAATGAAGGATTATAGAATGAAGCAATGGATCTTCTTTTCTCATCTGGATTAGCCAAAACCTGGTGCCAAACACTCTTGTATCTACCATTGCTCAACACCTCAACTTGGTCCCCAGTGTTGATGACAATGGCGTTCCTTCGAGGCTGGACATCGATCCATTGCCCGTCTTTGAGGATTTGAAGGCCTTTCACTTCATCATCTTGGAAGAGCAAAATGACTCCCCCGGCATCTGTGTGAGCTCGAAGACCATTCAGCCTCTCAGGGTGAGGGCAGGGTGGGTAGTGGCTCACCTTGGTGCCGAAAAAGGCATTGTCTCCTTCGCCATTGAAGGATTTCTTGATGTATCCTTTTGGTAAGCCCAAGTTTTCGTCCATGGCTTCCATGACATTTTCTGCCAGTTTCTTCAGCTCAGCTCGGTATTCTGCCATGGTTTCCCTATTGTTCATTTTATTCACAAGTCAGATGATATAATCCTTGTTTCAATGACATATTAGCCGTGAACATTGCAAACTGGAAAATTCGAGATTACAACAATCATATGGACATTATATGGACGTAGTATGCGCTTGGTATCACTTTAGTCTCCATTTTTTCAAGTGCGTTAGAAGCGCAGATTTTCAACTTTCATCACTTTGGTTCTATCAAAAATAACAATTTAAATTAACTAACAAAGATGGCCAAACGTATTTTCTGTAATCAAATTTAAAGGAGATACAAATCCTAAATTTGAAAGACGAAAATGATACAAATTGTAAACTTGAAGAACAGAAGTTATATAAATTACAAATGTGATTACGTTAGACGCATATGCACATTCCATCAGTGAATTTAAATGGGCATTCTCTATTGGACTAAAGTAACACATTGAAAATTTAAAAGACTAAACTGATACAATAAAAAGAATGAGAACCAAAGTGACACAATAGGAGTAAAATATTATCGTATAAATGTTCTTTTTTAAAGATTGGAGGAATTTTCACGAAGTAGTATCGATGACAAAGGTTATATTTGATTTCCATTTGTTTTGTTGCCACAGAAATCAGGTTATATAGGAATGCTGTTGAACTTTTTCTTCATTTTCCCGGCAACCAAGCAAGAGCATTGCTTAGAAACTGGGAGATACTAATAGCAGTATTAGTATAGCATTGTATTGGTGAATTGTAAATTGCACTGATGTGATTAATTAGAACTACTAGATGCTTACTTGAATCCCGGAGTTTTTGACGGCCACTCGTTGTCGTCGGAGAGAATGAAGACATCCTCCCAGTCCACATTCTCCAGCTTGTCGCCGCTCTTGTTTTCAACCAAGTCATTCAACAACTTGACTGGTGTTGAGTTATTGAAACCTTCTTCCCTTTCCAGCTTATAGCACTCGGAACAAACCTTCTTCACCCTTTCCAGGAGTTCCTCAGGAATCCCATGGTTCACCAACTGTAACAAACAAATAAAGGAAACTTGTAAGATCTATTTATACAATGTCAAGTGTTACGTAAACTGGCACCAGCACCAGCGTTTGAATCACTGCATTTTGGTGACCTAAATCTATTCTAAACGTATGTGTCGAGTGCTTGATAAGTGTTTATTTTTTAACCTTTACTATACACCGTGTTTTAAAGACATGTGGATGCAGGCCTAATGGGAAGAGTGCAATATTGCACAATAAAGGTCCACCCGTCCCCACAGTACATATGGCATCAAAGTCATTGATCTTGTTGTTGTGCAGGTCGTGCAATTTGTACACCCTAGTCCAGTGGAGTGGTGGCAGCTATCGTGGTGGAAGTCATCATTCGAAATCTCACATGGCCTAGGTCTAGGCGAGTGTCCTTGTTGGGTAGATCCCACGTTACTTGGTTAATATGTTTAAATTGTTTGATAAAAATGAGTGTTGAAATTTCACTATATAACGTATTTTAATCCAAAATAGATAATAGTATTTGTTGCGGATCTGAGTTGTTACAATGCATGAAGAGAGTATAAGCTTGAAGAAAAGATGTGTTGGGAGTGAGAGGTTTTTTCATCAATCAGTCACAAGATTGCCAGGAATATTTTGAGTTTTTAGTTTTGACATCCTTTTGCATTGTAAAAATCTGCTGAATAAAATGCCTAAGAATATGATTACCTGAAAGAATCCCCATTCTTCACACCCATTAGCTATCTGTGCCATAGTCTGAGCCCTCTCCTCTCCATTGAGCTTCGAGAAATCGATCACCGGGATTGCCATTGAAGTGAAAATGCAAGAAAATATATGCGAGAGAGAGAGAGAGAGAGAGAGAGAGATTGTTGTTTAATTTGCTTAGTAATGCTGGACTGTGGTGGTGGTAGTGAAAAGGTTGCCTTGGGCTATTTATAGGGCAGTTCTTCCAGCCAATTTGGATGTCAACGCTCCATAATTAAATGTGAAGCAGTCGCTGGGGGTGAGGTGTAGGGACGGTGACATAATAACAAAAAGGTCAATGTCTCTGAGATATTGCTTACCCACAACAGAAAGCTACTCCTTCAGCTAATGCATTTCATTAGCTATTGTTTATTGCATAAGCACCTGGGCTGCGAACATGTGGCGTTATAACTAATAGGAACCCTGGATAGTGCTGTACACGAGATTTTCATAGTTGCAGATTTATAAGAATTAGATGTTCAATCTACTTTCATTTAAAAAAAATTGATTTTATAACTCGAAACCATGATATATAAGTTACAATAAAATAATTTATCATTGTGTCAACACCTTCTTCTTATAACCGTCCCAATATGTGACAATTTAAGTCACCCGTCACATTTGCGTCTTGTGATCATGAAGGGGGGAAAAATGATACTAAATGTTACTCCACCCATGCAATAGAATATCAACTGTACAAAACTGATAATAGAAGATCAACTCAAAAGTATATCTCTTAGACTGGTTGAAATATGTTGGAGATATAGCAGTTTAGTTTATTAGGGTTCATTAAGTTTTACCTTTTTTATATTTTTACTTTTTTATCTTTATTGTAATTTTTATTGACTATATATACGGGGGCTCTACACTTAGTTTGTATTCCTTTTTACTCACGTCTATTCCAAGTTGGTATTAGAGTCATAACCCTAATCTTAACCCTAGCCCCTCCTCCACGTTGCAGCCACCCCACCAGACTACTGCCACAAACCAGAACCTCAAACCAATACCGAACAAACCCAAGAAGCACTGAAACACCGAACGATATACATCGAAACCCAATCCCAAAGCTACCGATTGCCCAACCACCGACTGCCATACCTCTAAGCATCAACATATACCAAGAAAACACATACCCACCACCGAAAACATACCCACAGACTACCTTCCAGTAAATAAACACCGACTGCTTTCCAAAACCCAAGCAAAATTAACATCAAACAACACCCTTGAAAACTAAGCAGCCCCACCAACAGACAATACCCACCAAGACCCAGCCAACAACCTCTGACAAACCCACTCTAGACCAGTTGACTACCCAAGACAATACCCACCAAGACCAACTGCCTACCTAGCCAAAACACGTACTCCTATACACCCAGCAAACATTAAACTATACACCCACCAAAACATACCAAACAACCCATTGTCCAGTCCAACTCAAACCCAACACAGTACTCACCCCAGCGAAGTAGCTGGGTTGCGCTCTTCGTCATAGTTTCGTGTTTTGCCTTTGTGCGCCTGATTATTTGGGACCGTAGGACCTTTTAAGAAAGGTTGAATCCTCTTTTTCGTTGATATGCTCTTGATGTAGTATATCACTTATTTATATTTATTAGATTTCTAAGCATCATGATCTGATTATTTGGGAGCTTTCTAGACCTTCTTCATCTGTCGCTACTGTTCGACTGGAGGTATATTATTCTCCCTTATTTTGTCCATCTATTTATCTTAGAGTTATTTTTCTGTCACGAGTGCTCTAGTATTATTGATGATATGATTACTACTGAGGGAGTTGAGATCCCTACCGTTGAGACATTTATTAGTACTTCCATTGGGTATAGGGGTTGACAGTGCTCGACCCAACGCCGTCAGGGTACCCCACATCAGCGTAGATATGAGAATTCTCGTCATTGTAATTATTGTAGCAGACTAGGACATCTTAGGGCTAATTGTTGGAAGCTCCGTCCGGAGCTTAAGCCGCCTCCTTGCAGTCATACTGCTGTCATTGTTAAGGCACCACCACCTACAGTTATTACTCCTGCTACTATTGCTAGTGCTCCTCCTTGGCAGAGTGATAGGAATGCTATCACTTTTTTGCTTGGATATGCTTATGTTAGCCTTGACTTTTCAAGGTTCGACTACTACTGCTGTCATTACTACAGGTATATCTCGTGTCTTTCATACTTACGTCAGTCCGTCTCCTTTTTAGATGCTGGACTCGGGTGCTAATGGTCATATGACAGGTGAGGTCCATTATTTCACCTTTTTTGACGAGCAGTTACATACTCAAGTTCAGTTAGCGGATGGTACACATACCCCTATTGTTAGTAGGGGTATAGTTCACCTCTTAGATGACTTTACATTATGTTCGGTGTTTCATGCACCAAAACTGGTCATGAATCTATTATATGTACATCATTTAGCCAAAGATTTTTATTGTGTCGTTGTGTTCTTATCTGATTCATGTTATTTGCAGGACCTGAGTATCAGGAGGATTATTATCAGGGGACATGAGGGAGATGGATTGTATTATTTAAGCGACCCACCTCCCGTTTCACTAGTTTCTCCACCTCAACCTCCATCACCTGTTTTGTCTTTATCTGTTCCTAGCTTACATGCTAGTATTTTACCTAATATTTGTCGTTATTATTTTTCATCACAAACTATTCAGTTGTGGCATGATCGTTTTGAGCATACAAATTTTAAATATTTATGTATGTTATTTCCTGTTTTGAGCAAAATTTGTGTTAATGGTAAACTTAACTGTGTTATATGTTCTCTATCAAAATATGTTCGGACCGGTTATATTCCTCGCATGCACCAGTCACCCAAACTATTTGACCTAATACACTCGGATATTTGGGAACCTCTCCTATTACTGCTCTGTTAGGTGCCCGATACTATGTGACATTTATAGATGACTATACCCGTTCTACTTGAGTCTACCTTTTGCATAGGAAGTCTGATATACTCTCTGTCATTACTCAATTTTTTCAGATGATTAAGACACAGTTCGATGTCATTGTTCGTGCTCTCATTCGAATAATGTCAAAGAATATGTGTCTGATCCCTTAGTGTCTTACCTTTCTTCTCAGGGTATCCTTCAGCAACTCACTTGTCCATATACTCCTGACCAAAATGGAGTTTCTAAAAGGAAAAATAGGAGTCTGATAGGGATGGTACGTTGTATGCTTAGTGGTATGGGGGTAGCAAAATTTTATTGGTATTTTGTTATTTTGACTTCTACCTTTTTGTGTAATCGTACACTGAGTAGTGTTCTTCAGCATAGGACCCTTACAGGTCTTATTCCCTGAGCGGACACTTTTTTCGGTCCCCCCTCGTATTTTTGGCTGCACATATTTTGTTCAAGATCGATCTCCTACTCGTCATAAGCTTGATGATAAAGCGATTCGTTGTATCTTTGTGAGTTATTGTCATCAGTCTAAAAGGTATCGGTGTTATGATCCTGTCAGACGACATATGTATCACAGTGTAGATGTTACATTCCTTGCGCATATTCCTTATATTTCTTCTAGTCCTATGTCTACATCTCCAGTTGATGATACTCCCTTTGATTTTTCATTACCACCGGAGTCAGAGGCATTGGTCACTATCACTACAAAGTCATCGGTCTCTTCTCCTCTAAAGCCACTCATCCCTATCAGTAAAGACTCACCAGTCTCTCTTCCTTTGCAGGTTTATGTTCGTCATCCTCACTCTCATCCCCCTGTTGATGTTCCTTCTATCTGAAGCGATGCAGATAATACTTCTCAGTTCGTTGAGCATATTGATGCACCTATTGTTAGTACTGATGAGATTGCAGGTACTGAGTCAGTTGTTTTACCTGATGAGACATTATCAGTGGATAATGATGATTTAGGGCGTCGTTATCCGCGGCGTAATCGTCATCCAGTTGTTCGTTATGGTTGGACTGCCAAAATTTTATATTCGATCTCTGCTTATGTTTGTTATGGTGATCTGTCTCCTACATTTTGAGCTTATAGTATGGCCTTATCAGATACGTCGGTTCCTCACTCTATTTCAGAGACTATGCGAGAGCCCTATTGGGTTCTTGCCATGCAAACAGAGATGGACGCTCTTCAGCGTAATCATATGTGGGATCTTGTCTTTTTACCTTCAGGGGTGAAGCCTGTTGGCTGTCGCTGAGTTTATACCTTGAAGTTTCTTGCGAATGGTACTATTGATCGTCACAAGACTAGGCTTGTGACGAAGGGCTTTACTCAGGTACCAGGTCGTGATTTTGGTGTTACCTTTGCTCTCGTGGTAAAATTGACAACTGTTCGACTGATTATTTCTTTGGCTGTAGAATACTCTTGGCCTTTTCATCAGTTGGATGTGAAGAATGAATTTCTTCACAGTAATCTGGATGAGATTATTTATATGGATGCACCACCGGGCTTTTGTAGTGAGGAGGAGTATGCTCGAAAGGTTTGTCGACTGCGTAAGTCTCTTTATAGACTAAAACAGTCACCACGAGCCTGGTTCTCTTGCTTTAGTGATGTAGTTGTACGGCTAGGGTTCACCAGATGTCATTCTGATCATACTTGCTTCATTCGACGGAATACTTTCGGACAGTGTATCATTCTTTTGGTATATGTTGATGATATTATTATTACTGAAAATGACGTTTTTGGGACTACGCAGGTTAAGGTAGACCTTGGGAAGGCCTTCAATGTGAAGAATCTTGGATTTTTACGATACTTTCTTAAGATTAAGGTTGCCCGTACCAGCAGAGGTATTGTTCTTTCTCAAAGAAAGTATGTTCTGGATCTTCTTTCAGACATTGGGATACTGAGGTGCAAATCAACATTATCACTCATGATTTCAAACCTGAAGCTTACTACTGAAGGTGAGAAGTTGGGAGATCCGACTATCTATCAGAGGTTGGTAGGTAGACTTATCTACCTAGCCAACACTAGGCCAGACATTTTATTCACTATCAGCCGAGTTATTTAGTTCATGCACAGACCATGTCAATCTCATCTTGATGCAGTTTATCATATTCTTCGGTACCTTAAGTCTTGTCTTAGACTTGGGTTGTTCTA